ATTCCGCTGATAAACGAGTGTTTAGAGGCTGACGCTATTGACGTTTGCGGATTGTACGGAGTATACTAACGCAGATTTAATACCCACAACTTCTATAGTATTCGTTTCGCGTAGACCAAAGACAAAGCAAAAGACCACAAGTGATCATTCAAATTACGAATATATTTCAGGACCAAATCAGAGTGCGAGATGATTGCTTGGTTGGCTAGTGATCGTGCACGAACGTGACACGACGGAGTACCAAATGGCGTGGACTCTTGACTGGAAGCCTTCAGCTAAACAGGTCGACTTAAACAGTGAGGGTCAGCATCCAATGCTCAGTGATGAGTACTGTAGTCAATAATTTTGAGGAATTATTTACCGCTACAAGTGTGATACGTGATGCTTGAATCCTATAGACAGAACTTCGGTTGCAACTAGGTTTAGCTTAACATCCAATAAGTTGTATGTTTTTTTCCTGGCACTGTCGAAATTCTTCATGTGGCTGCTCCACTACTAAGGATTTCCTGAGCCTCTTTCCATATGAATTCGCGGCCTGCAGCTGTAAGTCTTCCATGAAGTTAATAAACTTTATTCGACATACTACATTCAGACTTTCTAGTAGACTGTCGAATTTGACTAGATCTGACCTCAAGGTGTTGATGTATTTCTGATATGAATTAATATGCGACTTGGTGATGTGACGCAGACTCTTCTGAGATGGAGGTAATTTGGTTGACCTGAAAAGTTTCAGAAACTGATGTGGATAACCACCTGTCCCAAGACACTCCTCGTAGAGAGAGAGAGACTGAGGTATTACCGTTAACTAGCTCCCATAGTTCTCTTGCCAAGTCGGAGTTCTGCAGGCGCTCAGTCTTAATTGGTCCTTCTGCCTGAGTAGCATGGTTATCTCTCTATTCGCCGTTTGCATTGCACAAAGTATCAGTTGTGTTATCTTGATTAGCTGTTTGAAATCAACAAACAGTATGTACTTCCCAGTCGCCTTTTTCACTAAAAGCATTGAAGAGCTATACAAGCTGTCCGCTTCTTCAATAATACCATGGTTTAAGACCTCCTATACTTCTCACTCAACTTCACCTTCTAAATGATATGCAACTCTTTGTGTTACGAAGGGTGTCATTTTGCGACCAGCGACTAGGTTTTCATCACTCATCTTATCACAGTAACCGTAACGGTTTCCATCTCTAGTGAACACATAATCGTATTTAGAAGTTAATTGGTGGATGGTGACTAGCAGTGGAATCCAGGATATGCATATCATCCCATTTGGGACTCGTCATCTGGATGTACCTGCAGTCCGCAGTGAGTGACGATGTTCCCACTGAGGCTCGAACCCAGTGCCCATAGTTTCAAACGTCAAAGCATTATTCACTAAGACCACTTGGGCAACGAGAGCCACCCCTTGTGCAACGGGTCATAGTAATTATTAAATTCAATTTTAGAATTTCCCATCGATTGATTGATCGTATTTCCTAAATAATGTTCTCATATACTGTATTTGCGATGTCTCCCTGCCTACTGTCTGTGTAACAATAACCCGACCTACTTTCACTGCTGAAAGTTAAAGCAATTGACAAGAGAACTATAGAAATAAAAAAGAATCAATTTTTATTCTGCTTTACAGGTAATCACTGCTTAGCACGTTCATAGTGAGAAAGCATTTATATTACTACATGCAGGACATGTATGCACTGCTATGGGTAAATTTAGATGTTACTCGTCTATGCCTTTCGGTGAGTTTTAAAGCCAGAATCTTTGAATACAGTGTAAAAGTGATCTTATCTTTATATTAGGAAGGAAATGCCAATGCAACACTTCTGATGAGTATAAATGCATACTGTTTATTTGGTTTAATATTTCCCGAGTGGATGACTTGTGTTTTTCCTACGTATTACTGACCTATCTGTGGTTCGCCATCATTACACCAAAATATTACCTCCTCAATAATAAATGGATTAAATTGAACTGACTGCTAAAAATACTTCGAAATCGCCTTCAAATGTTTAAAGTGTCTCAATTTCTGTCTTGAAGTGTACTAAGTCGACAGAGCTAAGACTCCATCTTGTGCTTTCCTTTGTTCTGGTTAGCGCACACATTCCCAGACTTCCTCAACGATCCACACTAGACGGAGAGGTTCGAGAAACCCTCTCCCGAAAAATCCCAACCTTCATACTACTTGAAAATATACTGCTCTACCGAGTGACCGTATTCTCAAGTGACTGACTCTTTTAGCTTGGTGTCTTATTATCACTCCTAACAGGTTAATAATTTAGTGGGTACTAGAACACATCGAGTTAACTACTACACAATGTCAACACATCTAATCCCGTACACACACCATATATATATATATATATATATATATATATATATATATATATATATAACATTTTAATCTTTTGTATATTTGTCAAGTCTGTTTTCCGGTCTTACCTAAATAGGACTCATTTTCACTGGATCAAACGTCACAGTGAGTTAAAGGAATAAAGACAAACAAGAGACGAGCGTTCCCTCTTAGTCTCAAACTATGCAAGAGCACAGACCCATAACCGTCCATCAGATAAACCACTAACCGCCAAGCTTAGTGAGCAGCACATTACCGTCTATGTATTGTGTATGAATTCAGTAGTCTACCAGTCTGATTTATGCATTGTGATCATCATGCATAGTGAGTGGTAAGTAAGTATGCACCTATCTGAATGGACTGTCACCACGAGTCACAGTTCCTCATGGTTCGTTTTATTTACATTCAGATTACATTAAGTTAATTGTTTCAACGTTGCCTATACTTTCATTTAATTATAGCTTTGGCGGTTGACAGCTTCTTCTTACTCCTCATAGATAACAAATTCCTAACCCACTAGTATTTGAAATGTCTGGATTCAACATAGAACTTGGCACCGAAGTGCACCAGTTCGAGTTGCCACGTTCCAAATAGCACACAGAAGTAGACAAGAAGATGAGTGAAGAGAATCAATACAGTCTGACAAGTATAAGAGTGAAACAGAATGGGTAGTGGTAGAAAGGAATATGAAAGATTACAGAGACTGAATACATCTGCGCCAGTATTTGAAATCTATAATTGTTGTCCAATTACGTCTACTGCTCTGTCATTTTTAACAGTTTGTTGCCTACTTTGATTAGAAGTTAGAGTTACGATAATGACTCGTAAGTTCGGTCCCAAAGAATCCATAAATGACATTTAATTTTAACTAGTGAGTCATTTGTTTCTCTCTCGTTCTTTCCGAACAATTTGTAAGCATTCCTAATTATAATCCACCTCTTCAATTACAGCTCCGACTTATCGTGAAAAATAATTCTTTGTGACTTCACTAAACAGTGTTCCAAACTACCTATCCCATCACTTGTTAAAAGCTCCACCACAAATCGATAGACAGTTTAGAAGGTAAGTACTGACAGACGTATTTCTGGATCAATGACGCTTATATCACATCTGAGATTAAACTTAGTACTTGCTTCTAATAAGTTATTTATCGGCCTTGTCGTACCAGAAACCTTCATCTCCAGCAAATGTCTGAGTGGACTTAGTTACAAGAAAGCCTTATGAAATGTACAACAAAGTCTGGAGCCAAAATGTCCCAGCAGACAAAAACATATACAATGAATGGAGAACCTCTCTTATTTTTCCGTTCAATAAACCAGATTCAAAAGTTCATGAAATTTTAAGAAAGGTAATACATCTTATGAAATCGTTAGCCAATCGTGGTGTTCACCAAACCCCAGCATTCCAGGAACCAGATTAGTTGGAAACTAGGTATTTGTTCTTATGTTATGCTAGATATAAAAGATTTACCTTTCAAAACACAGTAGTTGAATCCTCACCCTTAGATTACTCTTTTCTCACAGGCATGAATGCACCCGACTAACCAACTTAAGTATTCTTTCTTACTTCACGCTACCGTTCAGACGCATGAATGTACATGAGCTTCCCATCACTTGATTTGTGGAAGCGCCAAGACGTCAAATAATACACAAGTGTCACAGGAACGATGAATTCTCCTCTCTTACTGACGTAGTAGTGCGCTAAATTAAACGTTGTTAAAGTATGTTGTCCATCCGAAGTATCATTTGGGCACGAATGATACTGAAAACAAAAACAATCACGATGCAAACCGTTTAAGAGTTGCAATCACGTTGTTATGTGATATCAAATACCAACTGGATTAACAACTGAGCTTATCCCTGAACTAGCCATTCAACAGAAAGTATGGACGCCAAGTTCCCCTCCGATGACATTTTAACCAAAAGATATAATTACAGGCTTCGACTGATGACACTTACGCGCCAGCAGCACATAATCTGATAACATCGCAATAAGCAAAAACCTGGTACGAAACTCTTATGCAAGGTATGCTGCACTGAAGCTATGGGGAGCGTAAACAGTTGAGCAGGTTAGAGTTCACCGATTGCCAACGTAAGATAAAACAAATAGACAAAATCCATAAAATGATTTTAGAATTAAAGCACTTAACGAGAAATAGAATATTTGGGGGTGATGAAAAAACCAATCTGTCAACCTCAATCTCTAGTGTCCCATATTCATCCTCCGAAAAGCGGTTCAAACAGAGTCGACTTGTGAACAACCAGAGTACCTCGACGGCCAAGCGACGTTGCCTATAGTTAGGTACCGACCGTGAACGCATAACTACGCTACTCGTTTGGCGCTGTGGCACTACACTGTCAAAGGATTTCTGAGCACATTACGTCAGCAAGTCAGTCAAGAAACTACTTAGAAATCCCCCCATCTTAGTTACGACCGTATACTTAGTGTTGAGCATAACACACCACTTAAGTCATGTCTTGAGTATTCTCCTATTCGTAAACGTCTAATCGGAGCCATCTCCCAAAATGGATGACTCCTATAAAATCAAACTAGCAATCAGCTCTTAGTTCTTAGAGTAAACCAGCCCAGCATTACTCTCCGGCCATCCGAATAGTACAAGGTCACGATAAGCAAATTTCAAAACTCGGTAAGTTTCAGTACTAATTTCTTAATTCATTTACAACTCTGAAATTACACAGAAAGCAAATACGAACAATATTTACATAACCAAACGCTTCCGACTGCAGACAATTTACTGAAGATTTCATCAAAGTGCGGACTTCTCATCTGTAGAAATACCCCCATTTTCTTTTTCTTCGACATCACCCAAACCAGTCTATGCAAATAGCAAGAGAAACGCACGACTTACCTCTTTACAGCGCTCAAATATACCGCGGAACATTTTCCGTTCTGTATCTCTAGCTTTCTTAACTGCCTCTTCGCAGACTTGTAGTTGCTTTACAGCCAATGTGTTACTAGGATTCTTTGCCACAATTCTTCTGAAGTACACAGCCGCTTCTTCGTGGTCTCTACGCAACAAATGGGCCTAAAAATATCAAGTCACACAATCAACATACCCACCTGTCCCATTCTGAATAATGCCTTCTCATTGCTAGCAAACATATCTAGTACCTTCTTGCAAAATTCGATGCACTTATCAGGTTCATCAAGCTTCAAGTAAGCTAGAGCTGAGTTAAGCCGAACGGCCACAATCATTTCAGACAACTCCGTCTGTTCTTTAGGGCCATTTGCAATGATGTACTGCAAATCATCATCTAGGCGTTTGTACAATTCAAGAGCTGGGTCAAATTTAGAATCCTGGCGTAAGCGATAAAACCTGAACAAACCTTCAAGAAGACGTTGGCCTTTTCCTTCAAGGTGTTAGCATATTCCATCTGTTCTTTGAAAGAAGAAATACTAGACAGATGTTTTGTCTGTAACAATTAGTCAATGTTATTGGTGCTCACCTTTTCAAACGATTTCAGTGTCAGTTCATAAATTACACGACTTTGGTCTGTACCTCCGTCAGATGCTGAATCTTTCTCTGTGAGGACTACAACTCGACTGTATTCATCTGTATTCATGTGGCGCAGTGCGAGGTCCAACTCTAACGGTACTTGTGGCGTGGGGTTTCCAACACAATACGTCACTTCGACATCTCCTGTAGACTCAGTCAAATTACGGAAAAGAATAGTAGCCTCGGCTCCAGCGACAGGATTGTGAATATCTCTTCCCTTTCTAAGAATCGATTTCCTAATGCTACCATCTTTTCTCCTACTAACATCGCAGCCTGCAAGTATTTCCAAAAGACAAACGCACACTACCTAAGGTGTCGAAAATCTCCACCTCGAACTTGAGTGTTTTCCCATCGTGATATGCATACTCGGGAGCAGCAATCAGCTCACAAACCTCACCTAACTTCATAGTGGCAACGCCGATATCCCAAGCCTTAATAACGTCACCTTGAGAAATAGTCTACGTGAACTCACACTTACCCTTTCCAATAGAGAACTCAAATTTTTCATTTCGTGCTCTACTTGAATCGAAAACTTTGCCGTTTTCATCACCACCATAGTATGTGCCAACATAATGCACCACGACAGTATCCCCATCACATGGTTTCACTTCACTTGTCCCCTCTCGCAGAACTTTCTTTAGGATACCGCGATCGCCTGAAGGGCTCAGATCTGTAAATCCCTTCAGGTATTCATCTTCCACCTGCTGTTGATTCTCCACAGTTTTTGTGTCCCCGCTCATAGTCGACAAACTTCGAGAAAGTACTAAACAGACTTGAGTTAGTCAATGGTTTGAAGAAACAAAAGCATCTGTATCAATCGTCCAATGATTTCAGATTTCAGATTTATTGGTTGAGGATAGAAGGCTTGCAGCCTATGTTAATCCTTTTCTAGTAGATTTCTGTGGTTGTCCAAACCCTTCTTGAACGAATCAGTTGAGGTTGCAGACACCACTTCTTCTGGGAGTCGGTTCCAACAGTTTATGACTCGATGTGAAAACCAGTACTCAACAGCAATATGATTTCTCCTTGGCTTTTGAACTTTCCTGCTATGTCCTCTAAGGTGTTCCGACCTGGTGGGAAGGAAAAGAGAGAATAGGTCAGGTCCGTAGTCATTATTTAAAATTTTAAACATTGTGATTAAATCTCCTCTCTGCCTACGGTATGACAGTGAGAAGAGATTTAAACTATCTAGTCTTTCCTCGTATGATAAGTTAGCTATGCCGTGAACCATACGTGTTGCCTTCCTTTGAACACTTTCTAGAATGTGTGAATCCCCTTTTAGACAAGGACTGGCGGCCTGGATGCAGTTTTCCAGTCTTGACCTAACCAGAGATGTGTATAAGGAGGTGAACATATCTCTGGTAATTCTTGTAAAGGCTCTGCGAATCGCCAATAAGGACCTGAAACTACGTGCAGCCACCGCGCGACAGTGTGCTGTAGTTTTTAAGTCGTGGCTAACTATGACACCTAAGTCCAAGTGAGTCTGAACTGATGGAAGTGTTATTCCCTCTAGTTCGTAGGAGCTCGTGCTTGCTTGTCCAATGCGCATGGTTGCACATTTTGCCACATTGATCGGGAGCATCCATTCAACAGACCACTCCGACAATTTGTTGAGGTCCTCTTGCAACGTGAGCGTATCACTGTTGCTCTTCAGCTCTCTCCAAATTTTTAAGTCATCTGCGTATAGGACCATAGGGGAGTCGGTAAGCAGAGGTAACTCATTGATATACAGAATAAAAAGGAGAGGACCGAGAACCGTGCCTTGTGGCACTCCGCTACTTACTGCTGTCCAGGAGGAGAGTTTTGAGTTGATCCTAACCCTCTGCCTCCTATCTATGAGGAATTCCCTGAGCCAGTCTAGTAGTCTGCCTTTGATACCAAGACTTTCCAATTTCATGAGTAGTCTTTTGTGAGGTACTTTATCAAAGGCTTTACTGAAGTCTATGAAGACGACGTCAACGGGTCTTCTGTTGTCCTTTGATTTGACCCAGCTTTCTCTTGCAGTCAGGAGATTTGACAGGCATGAGAGGTTCCTCCGGAAGCCATGCTGTGCTCCAGATAACAAGCTGCTATTTTCCAGATAAGCCATGATGCTTTTCTTGATAATTCTTTCCAGTGTCTTGATTAAAGTGCTGGTGAGACTGATAGGCCTGTAATTTGAAGGGCTTTGTCTTGATCCTCCTTTGTGTATGGGGGTTACTATGGCGTCTTTCCAATCACGTGGCAACACTCCATTTAGGAGAGATAGCTTGAAGATCGTGGTCAAGGGGCCGGCTATGTGGGCTGATAGCTCCTTGAGAAGCCTTGGATGAAGATTGTCAGGACCCATTGATTTTCCTGCATCTAGTTTCATTAAGAAGTTGAGCACGATGCCTTGGTCGATGTCAACGGAATCTATCCCATGTTCTTCTGATGCAGCCAGAGCTGATCCTATAGGCAGTGATGACTCCTGAGTGAAGACTTGGGAGAAGTAGTTTGCCATTGCTTCTGCTTTTTCTTGATCTTCTTCGATTGTATCTTTGTCAATAATCAGGTTTGGGACACCATTGGGTGTTTTATTCCTGAAATTCAAGTACGAGAAAATTTTCTTAGGTTGTGCCTTTGCATTTTGGGCCAGGTGTGTCTCGAACTTCATCCTTGATTGGCGGATTTCTGCAATAGCTTTATTTCTAGCAGTAGTATATAATTCCCTGGTCTCAGAAGTCTCAAGTGTTGCAAACAGGTTCCAACATTTGCGTTTACGTCTGAGTAACTTACGAATCTCCCGGTTTATCCAAGGGGGGGAATGTTTCCGACCCTTTGGAACAGACCAAGGGATGAAAGGTGCCAATCGAATATCGTTTATACGAGCTAGTGTAAACCAATTTGATTTCTTTGTGCTCGCTTCTTGATTATAAGGTATAGGTTCCTGATCTTCGGTAAAATTCTGCGTAGCTCGTCCCGCTACTCGACTGTCGTAGCTTTGGCTGACTCCAAAGGGAGTAGTGCTGGGATTAATTATATGTGGTTTGTAGTATGAGCTGTGTTAAGACTGTTACTACTGTGAATGGAGTTGATCCTTTCGCCAGTTAATCCTCCGGTATCGTCGGCAAAATTGCGCGATGAAACTGTTCAGAAGAATTCAGAGAATCTATGAATGTATCTTTCAAATTCAAAAATGATCCCGATAAATTAGAAAACAATAGGACTTATCACCAAGCTGAATGTATGTAGTGGAACGCTTATACTTTCAACCTAACTACAACTAGACTCTCACTAGTTGAATTAAATAAATGGAGTCGAAACAGCTGTACCTTTCCGTTTACTTTCATTTTTATCATCCGAATTAGCATCAGTATTATCCTGTTTTTTTACATATTTAGAATCCGGTAACTACATTCCTAAATGCTTCCTAGCTATCCTCAAGAAACATATGTAACGGTATGCTTACGGTGAAGTATCCATGCCGTTTAGCACGCTGTCGTTTTAGGTTTGTTCGTTTGCACGATCTCCGGCTAGTTAAGCAATCGTCTCGCACTCCGATTCGGTCCCAAAATATAGTTGGTAATTTGGCCAATCACTTCCGTTGTTTTGCTTTACCTTTGGTCTACGCGGAACGAATACTGTAGAAGTTGTGGGTACTAGATCTGGCGTCATTATACATCGTAATATCCATGAACGTCAACACCCTCAGCCTCGTAACTGGTGAGCCCTATCACGAACATCGTCTTTGGTTAATACCTGGACAAGTCCGGTGAGTTCGTTCAATTTTGTATTTGTTCTTGGGCTATTTTTAAAGTATATATATTTCTCCATAAGTGACCATGCGCCTAAGGTCCTCGGTATTCGACCAACTAGCAAAACTATTCAGCTTGTGCTATTTTGGCCAGACATTGTGGAATCCTGGCTTAAGATAGCTAAGTTCGGTTTCAGCCAAAATGTGATCACTGGCCAACTTTCACAGTCCCTTGCAGTTATCCATGCTCTACCGTGGGAATTAAGCAAATGTGTAACTGCGTATGTGTCAAGCCCAGAGGTAGGTAACCCCCATGGAGTGCATAAAGCAACCCTCCTAAAGGGAAACGATCTTATGGATCCGCAGTGTCTTGACGAACCAATTCTCAACATCGAGTTAGATGATCAGTTGGCTGTGAACATGCTAACTAGAATGAGGGAAGTTATCGGTCAACGTCAGTTTGATGAGGGACTTTTCAGAGAGCTGTTCTTAACCAGACTGCCACAGGATGTATATAGGATGTGCATGTAACGCTTCAAGGCGTTATTATAGAAAACTCAGCCACTTCCGCCGGTAAAATTCTCGAAATAGAAGAACGGTCAGTCACTGGGATATGTTTGTTTGCTGAAAAGACTTCGAGGAGGGACACTGCAGTGGTAGAGTTATGCAACTCCGTCTAGCAACTACTAAAGTAACGTAGTTCCTATGTCAGCCACGTCTCGTAAACCGTCAATGCCCAGCTCTTGCTGCACTCGGGCTCACGCTGTTCCTTGAAGTTTCTCAGAAACGCTTAGTACGCACGGACGCAAAAACCAGAACCCAGTTAGGCGACTCAAGAATTATTTATTCTAACACCAACATGTAAACAATGTTACAACTAAGCCTTACAACTAAGATTTCTGAACAAATATTACAATAATAAATCACAATATTACTTCTGACGGTTGTCTCCTGACTTCTTTCTGAACAGCGACCGATGAGACGATGACTGGTGCATTGATGCCTCCGCGAAAATTGGGGAAGTTGGTTTTCAGCAAACAACCATGAATTGATCGTTCAATCTTCAACTACACTGATACTCCTCGGCAAAAATGTGTCCATCACCACCAACACACACTGACGTCGATGCCATTGCGAGAACCTGGGTCACACGGACAGAGCTGAAATGGAAACAAATAGAAAAGTCAACACACCACAAGCGTACCCACAGCACAATCTCACACATCAATGACGACCTGCGCATTCCAGTCAAAGGCATCCTCTTGACATCTTGCAACACAATCGCCACTTGCTAGAATGACTCTTGCAGAATTCAACGTGACTATAGCATCACCTCATGATACTCTACGCACATCCTCTTATCTACTCACTACCAATTATCACTGCAATCGCTTGTCACTCATTCCGCCTCAATTCTAGTAACGGTGACGTATGCAAGCCTCAGTCGTCTACACTGCCGCTCCCCGGCGTGTGGGACCACAGCTAACAATTGTCTCCGTATGCATTTCATTCTCAGCAATAGCCTCCCTGGCGCATACGACCCATCTGCTGTCTTTAACATCAATCGCTTCATTCTCGGATGTAGAAGACTAGAAACAACTTCAGAAGTAATCACGACGAAAATTTTAACAAAATTACGTAATAACAACAAGGTACGAAAACAACGAGTAAACACAATGAATCCAAAAAACACCAATTGATATGACGCAACACACATGTATACAAACAGTACACACAAACTCGCAGATCGTGTCTCGATGGAATTCCTTTGAAGAATCGCAGCAATTACACCAGTACGCCTACAACCCTTCTCACGTTGACGATTGTAAGTTGTGGAATGTCCGGACACAAACAAGATTAAGCAACAATTACAATAATTGGCACTCACACAAGTATTTAACACAAACATATGTACAATCAATACGTCGAATGTTGTGTATTCTGGCTTGACGAGCTACCCTTGAAGAACTGTAGGATTTACAGCAGTATGCCTACATTCCTTCTCAGGTTGATCATCCAAGTGGAGGACGTCCGTACACAAACAAAA